CGGCGCACCTAACACCCCCTCCGCTCCTCCATCTCCCTCAAATAGGGGAAAATGCCACCTCATTCCCCCCACACCCACTCCAGCGATGCCACGACATGCCCAGCCGCCCTAAAGGGGCTTCCGAGAAATCCAGCTGGGGAAAGCGTGATCCTGGACCTCCCTCCGGCCACTGAAGCTTTAGCCTTGGAAGAAGCCGGCTAGTGGGAACCAGCTGGATTCCCTCACTTCCACCTTCCTCGCTGCAGTTCTTCCCCCATCTGAGATCGCGATCCTTTTGAAAGGGAGAGGAGGGTCGGCCCACAGCTAAACCTGTGCGGAGGGACCCAGACTGGCATCTTGGATGAATCTTCCTCTGGGATCAATTGTTTAATAATCCTTCCGCTGTTCCTTGTTGCAGGACCCAGGAGACTGGACGCGAGCCTCCTTCTGGCTCTCCGACTAGGGCCCCCCAGACTCGGAGGTCAGTTTGGGGAGGACCCGGACTCCTTGGCTCTCTCCCTCGGGGTTTGAAGGGGGGCGTGGACCGTCGTGATGTGTGCGTGCGTCTGTTCGCGTGTCTGTATCTGTGTGTGTTTTCATCTCGGGTCAATTGTCCCCTTGCAGGTGCAAACGAAGCCCCGAGAGGGTTGGATCTGAAGATGCAACTGGGCCTTTCCCTAATCTCAGGTGAGGCTCTGCCGTCCTTGCGTTTCTCCGGGCACCCACCGTTCCTGGGAGGCCCTGAGTTAGGACCCCGACAGGGAAACTGGATGGGGATCGAATGCCCCAAATCCCCCCCCCAAAGAGCCCCGATGGCGACGAACTGTCTGAAATTGACCTCTGCTGCTCTTACAGCTCAGGGTGGATTCCAGTGTGCGGCCTGTCTTCAGATCCAGCCTGAGATTTATCGGGTGGGAGGTGAGTGCGAAAGAGAAGCGGGGATCGTCCTCTGACAGCCACCCCTGCAGAGGAATTGCCTGCAGCCTGAACCGCGTGTGTGGGGGAGGGTCTCGGTGGCAGCTCCTTCTTCTTATGCAGAAGCCCTGTGGGTGCCAAGAGTGCCAGAAAATACGGAAAGAGCGCTAGATCATCCAAGGGAACGATTAAGGGGATTCCAAAAGAGATCTGGTTACAGTGAGTCTTTGCAGGATATTGGCTGTCAAGGAAAGAAGCTTTGTGGGGCAGCGTTGCTCAAAGTCGGGGGGGGGGGAAGTTCAGCTGTCACAACTGTCTCACCGCTCTTTCTTCACAGATCAAGGGGGATCTTTGCTTCCTCGGAATTCCCATGTTTTCTGGCAAGGGTAAGCAAATTTGAGTTTGGGAGATTAGGTGGGTTGGCGTGAGAATCGGTCAGCTTTCAGGTAAACCTGACTCCTTTCAATGGAAGCTGTCTATCTGGATCCGCTCCAGTCCGGCTTCAGACCTGGGCACAGCACTGGTCGCGTTGGTGGATGATCTCTGGAGGGCTCGGGATAGGGGTTGTTCCTCTATCCTGGTCCTGTTAGATCTCTCAGCGGCTTTTGATACCATCGACCACTGTATCCTGCTGTGCCGGTTGGAGGGGTTGGGAGTGGGGGGCACCGTCCTGCGGTGGTTCTTCTCCTATCTCTCTGACCGGTCGCAGTCGGTGTTGGCAGGGGGGGCAGAGGTCGACCCCAAGGCGCCTTGTTTGTGGGTTGCCTCAGGGGTCGGTCCTATCGCCCCTTCTGTTCAACATTTATGTGAAGCCGCTGGGTGAGATCATCCATGGCTTTGGGGTGGAGTTCCATCAGTATGCTGATGACACTCAGCTATACATCTCCACCCCAGGCCATCCCAACAATGCCCTTGAAGTGATGTCCCGGAGGCCGTGCGGATCTGGATGGGGAGTAACAGGCTTTGTCTCAACCCTTCCAAGACCGAGTGGCTGTGGCTTCCTGCATCCCGATATAGCCAGCTGGTGCCATCACTGGCTATTGGGGGCGAGTTATTGGCCCCCACGGATAGGGCTCGCAACTTGGGCGTCCTCCTGGATGCACAGCTGTCTTTAGAAGAGCATATGATGGCCATGGCCAGGGGGGCTTTTTATCAGGTTCGCCTGATTCGCCCGATCCTTTCTGGATCGGGACTCCTTACGCACAGTCACTCAGGCACTCGTCACTTCCCGCCTGGACTACTGCAATGCTCTCTACATGGGGTTCCCCTTGAGGAGCACCCGGAGGCTCCAACTGGTGCAGAATGCGGCTGCGCGGGAGATTATGGGAGCGAGGGGGCGCTCCCATGTGACACCTCTCCTGCGTGAGCTGCATTGGCTTCCAGTGGTCTTCCGGGTGCGCTTCAAGGTGTTGGTGACCACCTTTAAAGCGCTCCATGGCATAGGACCTGGGTATTTGCAGGACCTCCTTCTGCCACCAATAGCCTCCCACCGACCAGTACGCACCCACAGAGAGGGACTCCTCAGGGTGCCGTCAGCCAGGCAATGTCGGCTGGCGACCCCCAGGGGGAGGGCCTTCTCTGTGGCAGCTCCTGCCCTCTGGAACGATTTGCCCCCGGAGATATGAAGGATATCGGATCTCCGGGCCTTTCGCCGTGCCCTAAAAACTTTTCTTTTCCATCAAGCAGGGCTGGCGTGAACCCCTTCCCCCTTTTTTAGTCTTATTAGTTTTTTAGTTTTAAATTGTCATGGGGTTTTAAATTGAATTGTTTTAAATTGGGCCAGTTATATAATTCTTTTAACAATTTTAAATTTTATATCTGCATGTGTTTTAGCTCTGGCTGTTCACCGCCCTGAGTCCACTAGGAGAAGGGCGGTATACAAATTGAAATAAATAAATAAATAAATAAATAAAATAAAATAAAATGGGCCTACTCGATGTGCGACTCTTTGGAAGTGTAGACCTCCATCCTGAACTGCACATCTCTGATCTGGGCAGCTGAAGAACCAGGGAGGAGTTGAGGAAAGGCAACCCAGATTCCCTCCCAGATCCTGCCTTGTGAATCCCCCCCCAGGACCCCCCCCTCGAATAGGACCCACAGCTCAGCATCTTCTCCCGGTCCTCAGTCACGGAGCACCCGACTTAAAAAGTACAAAGTGACATATCCCAAGCCCTGATATTCCCTCCAATCCATTTCCATTATGGATTTGGAGGACATTCCCACATCGAGAGACGGGGGGCATTTTAAATCCAGTTTCTTCTCGATGTCTCCGAATGTCTCCAACTCTTTATTGTTTCAGGACAAGACAGATCCAGAGAGGCAGCATATTTTATTATGCTCTTTGGCTGTTCACCGCTTGGTGGTAAGTCCCAGGAAGTGGCCTTTTCAGCCTTGATATAGATCTCACCACCAGCTGGCTGAGCTTGGGCGAGGCCGCGCCTAACATCTCGGTTCACAATGAAAACACACAGAAGCCAGTCAGATTTCTCATTTCTTTGAATTCAAAAAACATATGAATAATATTCGCTGTTAAATGAATGGTGATCGTTTTCCCTTTGGAGTTTAAGATGCGCCTCACGCTGCTTTCTCCTTTTCTTGCCTCCGAAGGAGAATTCCAGGAGGCCTCCCGGTATCTTTTGCCTTCCATAGAAGATGGCCCAACTTTGCTGGTAAGTCCCTTTGACCGCCAAGACTGGCCCTCAGATGCTTCCCTTCCCATAATGGAAGGATTCAGGGAGAATGAAATCAAGGTCCCCCAATGGTCACCTATTTCTCTCGGCTCTTTCATCAATTGCCTGGTGATGGAGGAACAGCCGAACAGCCCTGAGGACTTAGTGTTGAGCAACTGCAAAGACACTTTTGTACCTTTCGTGGGGAATTGGTCTCTGGTCCAGGGCTGCACCCCCACTCACAACACGAAAGAGGACAAATGACTCCTGGGACCTCCAACGGAAGCCCTCCCCTTCTAAGTAAGCCTCTCCCACATTGAATTCCAGGGAATCTCACAGGTCTGCATGCCCAGATCCAGCTGGTGGCTAACTAGGTTTCTTCAGGACTCTGCCGGACATTCCACGGAACAAAGAGCAACGTCTTTATCAGCAGAGACTCAGCATGTTCCTAACATGACAACGGCAGTGATCCACTTAACAGCCGTGGCAAGATAAAATATCAAAAATTAATATTCATATCCAATACTTTTGTAGAATGTGAAGAATAAATGAATAAATTTGTATATGTTTCTTTATAACTGTTAAATAAATAAACTTATTTTAAAAAAGTTAAATAAACTTGTTAAAATATCGAAGAAGGGACTCCAGATTATCATGGGACAGATTGTATCAGAGCTGTTTGGAAAATCAAAACCAATTTCCAGCACTTATTCAATGAAATATGAAAAAATGAAAGGATCCCGATGGAGAAAATCTGCAGTCATTGAGCCACGTTCTGTTTGTGAAAAAGTGTGTGAATTTGTCTTTCTTGAGTTCACCGTTAACAGCACCAACTAAGGTCTCTAAATAATCGAATCTTGCAAGCATTTCTCCCTCCTCACCTCTTCCTCTCTCGGAAACAAGGGAGTTCTTTCGGAAACGCTTTCCTTGCACACACACACACCTGCAAAGTCCTCTCGGGGTGACCAAGGTATTTCTTCCCTGAGGCTGCGACTCTTCCCCGCCCTCCCCCCCCCCGGTCATTCCCAGGTCCCATCGCCCCCATCCCAACACCTGTTTCCTAGGCGCCTTTTTTCATGGACTGTTTGTAAAGAAAAAAAGGCCAGACTTGCAGTCAAGAAGATTTGGTCTATTGTCAGTGAGAAGGAACAACATCAGCCGCAATGGAAACGTTGCTTTCATCCACCAGTAGACGCTTGGCAGCTGAAAAGCCTCGGATCTTCTCGCTGGGAGTCCAAAGGAGGGATCGGCTCCTTGCAAGGGAGGGTCAGGAGCGGCAGTATCCTCTCAACACAAAACAACCAGCGAGGAAGTCGCAATCGGAGCCTTATTTACCAGAACGAATCGTAGCAGCGCCAATCTCGTGTGTGTCTGGAGGGTGTCTATGCAGCAGCGCATGTGGCGCTTAGGCCACTTCCCCTTCTACGCTTGCAGCGTTCACAGTGTCGGAGCCGGAGGACGGAGAAGAGAACTCAAGCGACGGCTCCAGTCCACTCGGAAGACACAGACACGCAGAGCGCCTCTTGGGCACCCAAAACTGGCCTTGTCCCCCTTTTCCCCCAGGGCCACAGCGATGGCAGGAATCCTTGGACGCATCCTTCCCAGGGAGAGGCTGGACAGAGCCCCCCCCCCGTCTCCCACGCCAGCCTGCTCTCTCCCCGGCGTGCAGGAGATCTCCGGGTGGGCCGTCGCGCGGGAAAACTCGTTAAATGCCCCGGTCTCCCGGTCCGCGCGCGGTGGGGTTGGGGTCTGTGCCTTCTTCCGTCGGAGGGGGAAGGGCGGGTGGCGGGACCGAGCGGCGGTCTTTCGGCTGTGTGCTGCACCCGGGGCGCCTCTTTCTAGACTTTCCTCCGTCGGTGTTGGGACGCAGCGAAGGCAGCAGGGGCCCGGCCGGTCCGCCCCACACAGGAAAAACCCAGAAAGGCCCGGGGCGGAGTTGGAAGAGGAGTAGCTGTAGCCGTGGAGTAAGTTAGGAGTAGAGGCAACGGGTGTTCTGGGTCGCTCCCGCTTCTCTCCTCGCACCGCTTCAGGGCTCCCGTGGAGGGGCTGGCAGGGCTGCCCGGAGGGCGACCCACCCGGAGCAGAAGCAGCAGCGGAAGCCAAAGGGCGTAGTGGACACTCAGCAGTTCTGTTTTGGGGCTTCCCGTTTTTGCACTTCCTCATCTGCCGTGGGGGACAAGGAGAAACGGAGCTGAGGCCGCTGTTGAAAGTCAGGGTGGAGGCCCTCCGGCCCCTTTGCGCCCCATGGACTCCAAGGCCCAGAAGGAATTAGGGCTGAAGGCAAAGGGGGGCGCAGGGGGGGCAACCCTTCCTTGCTCTCTTCCCCTTTTTTAAATTTATCCTTTTTGTTTTTTGTTTTCTTTTTTCCTTGTTCCTGCTAGGCCTCTGTCAGCGCACCCCCCCTCCCCCGCAGGACCCTCCCAAGCGCCGTTTTTCGCTGGCAAAGGCACCAAATTATATTTGTAGAACGTGAAGAATAAATAAGTGTGTATTTGCTTCTTTCTAACTGTAGGAAACTGGTTCAAGTATCGCAGAAGGGACTCAGTACTATCAAGGGGCAGATTGTATCAGAGCTGTTTGGAAAACCCAATTTCCAGCACCTGTTCAATAAAATATGAAAAAATGAAAGGATCCCGATGGAGAAACTCTGCAGTCATTGAGCCACGTTCTGCTCGTGAAAAAGTGTGTGAATTTGTCTTTCTTGAGTTCACCGTTAACAGCACCAACTAAGGTCTCTAAATAATCAGAGAACGGGGGTGCACCGAATGAGATGTGTGTGGAAACAGGCGTCTCTCTCGCTCTCGCTCTCTGTGTTTTTCTGGGAAAGGCTCATGGGCCGGTGTGGGGGCAGAGGGGAAGAGGCTGCTGCCGGCTTGCCAAGTGACGCTGCGGGCGAAGGGTGTTGCTCAGGGCCGGATTTAGATTGAAAGAGGCCCTAGGCTATTCCACTTATGAGGCCCTTTCACCAGTGGTGGGATTCAATTTTTTAACAACAGGTTCTGTGGGCGTGGCTTAGTTGGAGGTGTGGCTTGGCAATCATGTGACTGGGTGGGCGTGGCTAGCTGGTCACGTGACTGGGTGGGCGTGGGTAGCTCGTCATGTGACCGGGTGGGCGTGGCTATGTGCATAGACTTTTTTCAGAGGGCTGAAATTCACCGGTCCTCACACTTATGACCATCCTCACATTTATGCCCGTGCAGCTTTCTTAACAACCATGTCACTCATTTCACAACTGCTTTTCTTTTTTTATTGCAAAAGTTTTACAATTACATTTTCACCCCTTTTTTCACCCCCCCACCTCCCTCCCCAAACTTCCCGTCCTCCCTAACCCTCCCTAACCCTCCCCCCCCAGACTTCCCTATTATATACTCATAACTAATAACACTGATATATATACCTGAACCCATCCCTCCCCCTATATAATTTTCCCTCTTTGTCTCTTTACATTAAGATATTTCTAATACATTGTTTTCAAATAAAAGCTATTTGATACTTTCTGGTTTGGTATTTGTTCTGAACATATTCTATCCACCTTTTCCATTCCCATTCATAAGTCTCTTGTGAACAATCTTTTAAATATGCTGAAATCTTCGCCATCTCTGCAAAACTGGCCATCTTCAAAGTCCATTCCTCGATAGTAGGCAAAGCTTCATTCTTCCAATATTTACCTATCAACAATCTTGCTGCTGTTATCATATACAATATTAATTTTATTTCATCCCGTGTAAAACCCTTAACTATACCCAATAAAAACAATTGTGGAGAAAATTGAATTTTTTTCTTCAAAACATTCTGCATGACCCACCATATTTTTATCCAAAAAGCCTTAACTTTCCTACAGGTCCACCAAACATGATAATACGTAGCATCCAAACATTCACATCTCCAACATTTTGGCTGAACATTAGGGTACATACATGACAACTTTTTAGGATCTAAATGCCATCTATAAAACATTTTATAAAAATTTTCCCTCAGATTCTGCGACTGTGTAAATTTAACATTCTGAACCCAAATTTTTTCCCATGTTTCCAACATCACTGGTTCTTCAAAATTTTGTGCCCACTTAATCATGCAATCTTTAACTAATTCCGTTTCTGAATCCCTTTCTAGCAAAACATTATAAAGCCTTTTAATATGCATTGGACCTTTCTCTCTTATATGTCTAACCAATTCTTCCTCATGCAACATAATACCAGTTTTTTGGTCCTCTTTCCATCTCAATTGTAATTGATTATATTGTAACCAGGTTAAATTAATCCCTTCGTCCAACAGTGTCTGCAATGTCTTCAGCTGCCATCTGCCCGCATCTGTAAAAAGAACCTCTTTGTATAAAAACCCCCCGAGTGACATTATATTTGTATTCCACAAGGTATGACCAAGATCCAGCCATAGCGGTATTTTATAATCCCATTTGAGTCGGTGCTTCTTCCAAACTCTCATCAAAGAGTCTCTAAGTATATGACTTTTAAATACTTTATCAACTTTGTCATCATAAAATAGGTAAGCATGCCATCCAAATTCAAGATCAAAACTTTCTGCATTCAATATTCCAGCCTTTTTACTCCCAAACCAATCACTTGTTAAAGTTAAAGCTGCTGCATCATAATATAACTGTAGGTTTGGAAGTTTAAGGCCTCCTCTTTCTGGAACATCTTGCATAATTTTCAATTTCACTCTCGGCTTTTTCTCGTTCCAGACAAACTTATTAAGTCCAGTTTGCCAAACTTTCAGTTGTTTATCACTTTTAAGCACCGGAATCATTTGAAACAAAAACAGAAATCTTGGCAAAATGTTCATCTTAACTGCTGCTATTCTTCCAAGTAAAGACAGTTGCAGCTTTTTCCAAGTCTCCATGTCTTTCTGAACCTCTCGCCACAACACCTCATAATTATTTTGAAACAATTTCATGTTTGATTCTGCAACCTGAACTCCAAGATATTTTACCTTAGGTACAATTTCAAAACCTGCCCTCCTTTCAAGCTCATGTTTACGATCTTGTGTCATATTTTTGACTATCATTTTAGTCTTTTTTGAATTCAGTCTAAAACCTGAAACTCTACCATAGTCTTGTATAATGTCATTCATCAGGATTGTTGATTCCATTGGTTGTGATAGGGTAACCACCAGATCATCTGCAAATGCCTTTATTCTATAATCCTCTTGCCTTATCATTATGCCTTTCAAAATTTTTGAGTCCCGTATTGTATTTAGCAAGACTTCCAATGTTAAAATAAATAAAAGTGGGGACAACGGACATCCCTGTCTTGTTCCTTTTTCAATTTTAAACTCTGTCGTCAAACTTCCATTAATAATAATCTGTGCTTTTTGCTCTTGATAAATTGCTGAGATCGCCTGTATAAATTGGTCCCCAAAGCCCATCTTTTTTAAAGTCTTTAGTAGAAAATTCCAATCCACTCTATCAAAGGCCTTCTCCGCATCCAAAAAAACCAGCACTGCAGAAATCTGTTTATTCTTATCAAGATATTCCAATAAGTCTATTACTTGCCTTACATTGTCCTTCATGTATCTGCCCTCAATAAATCCCGCTTGGTCCTCATGAATCACCTTTTGGATTACTGGCATCAACCTGTTGGCTAATACCTTCGCATAAATTTTATAGTCTGTGTTCAAAAGAGATATTGGTCTGTAGTTCTCTGGTTTTTTAGGACCAACTTGTTCCTTTGGTATCAAAGATATATAAGCAGTTGTCCAAGATGGGGGTATTTTACCCCCTTGTTGAATATTGCAAAATAAATCTCTAAGTTGTCCCACCATTTCAGCTTGTAAAGTTTTGTAATACACTGCAGTCAAACCATCCGTGCCAGGAGCTTTGGCTGTTTTTAGCTGTTTAATTGCTGCTGTTATCTCCTCCTCTGTTATAAGATAATTCATTCTTTCCTTTTGTTGATCAGTAATTTTTGTAACTCTCTTATCCTTTAAATATTTTTCTATAAGTCCATTCTGCACCTCTTCTTTAGCATATAGTTTAGTATAATAATCCACAAAAGCTTCTTTAATTAATTTTTGTTGAAAGATTTCTTTCCCTCCAATATCAATACTGTCAATAGTCCGTATACTTTGTTTTTTCCTCAATGTGTAGGCCAACCATCTGCCCGGTTTATTAGCATTGCAAAATGTATTATGCTTCGCATATTGTAAGCTTGTTGCGACTTGTTCCGCCATAAGCATTTGGAATTGGTCTTTCAAAAGTTTTATAGCACTTCGTATTCTTTCATCTGTTGGGTTTTTAATAAGTAACTGTTCTTTATTCTTTATTTCCATTTCCAACTCAGATCTTTTCTTTTGTCGGAACAGTCTATGTTTAGAATTCATGTAGATAAGTACCCCTCTCATATAAGCTTTACTTGCGTCCCAAACAATTTCAACTGGGGTACCTTTATTCAAATTTATTTCAAAAAATTCTTTCAAATGCTTTTTAAGTTCTATTGTATTTTTTTCATATCTAAACAAGTTCTCATTTAATCTCCAAGAACGTCTCTCAACCTTATCCATCTCGATTTCTATCCATACAGGGCTATGGTCAGTCAAAGTTCTTGGAAAAATCTTTGTTCTTTTTGTCTTAACAAGTAGATCATTTGACAACAGGATAAAATCAATCCTAGAAAAGGATCTATGTCTATCAGAAAAGAAAGTGTAATCCAATTCATTTGGATTATGTATTCTCCAAACATCTTTTAGTTCCATATCTTCTTTCATATCAAAAAAGGTCTGTGGTAGTCTAATTCTAGACTTTGCCAAGCTCTTTTTATCTAATTTAGAATCAATTACTCCATTCCAATCTCCCATGATTAAAATAGATCTGTAGTCCCATTGCAATATTTTAGTATGTAACATCTTGTAAAAATAATCCTGTTGTTGGTTGGGAGCATAAATTCCAATCAAAAGAATTTGACCATTTGCTGTGAGCAATTCAATTGCTACAAACCTACCATCTTGATCTGCTTCTATAACTTTTGCTGTTAATTTTTTATTTACATAAATAACCACACCATTCTTTTTCTGCGAAGTTGAAGATATATAATGTGCTCCTAGTTTTGAGTTTATCAAATATTTTTGATCTTGAGTTGTGATATGCGTTTCTTGTAAACATATTATATCATTATTAAATTGTTTCAAATATGTAAATAATTTCTTCCTTT